AATATTAACTGTTTTGAAGGCCATTTTTATCACACTCCGGCTGGAGCCTACTTAAGAGGAAACGCTTCGGCTTTATGAACTGATAAATTGCTTGCAGGAGAGAGAAGTCCTTGAAATGCATTCCCGGTTTAAAGATGTAAATTCCATTTAAATACCTGAGATACTTGACGCTGATTTGTTTGAAAAGGCACCTAAGTAGGAGGGTTGATCGAAATTCCGGTTTTGTTCGTGGAAACAGATAAACAGCACACTGCGTGCTGATCTTAGTGGATGAGACCAGGATTCAGGATGAATCCTTTATAAAGAAGCAAGCAAAGAGGGAGTTTTATAGATGGGAGGAAGAGAAGAGATAGATTATGCAAATGCTTAAAAAACCAGCAGGCATAAAGAGTGCGCTAAACTGAAATACTGAAAGAAAAAGAGCTTACAGCATTACTGAGTTCTTATCCCAGGTAATGTCATGGATTTATTTCATTGTGCATCGCTGAACAAGACATACGCTAACTGGGCTTACGTAAAGTAGTCCTCGACATACAACAGTTTGTTTAGTGACCATTCAAATTTAAATCAGCCCTGAAAAATGTGACTCAGGATCGCTTTTCACAATTATGACCCTCGCAGCATCCCCACGATCACGTGATCAAAATTCAGATGCTTGGCAACTGATTCATACTTAGGACGGTGTCCCGGGATCATGTGATCAGCCAAATCAACAAGGAAGCCCGATTCACAACAACTGTGATGCTACCTTAACGACTGCAGGGATTCACTTAGCAGCTGTGGCAAGGAACATCATAAAACGGAGCAAAACCCGCTGAACAACTGTCTCGCTTAGCAACAGAAATCTGGGGCTCACTTGTGGTTGTAGCTTGAGGATTACTTGCATTAGGATAATTATGAAATCGGGGATGGGTGAATGGAAGCCCTGGAGCTTCATTTGGGCCCAATTCCTTCTTTTGAATCTTAAGCATCTTCTCTCCAGCAAATTGAGAGGTACCATTTCCCACTGTTTTGAGGCCGGGAAAAATGTGTTATGAATCCCTTTAACTTTCGTTGTTGTTAGATGTAAAGTTGTGTCTGACCCATTGTGACCCCATGGACCACATTCCTCCAGGCCTTCCTGTCTTCTACCATCCTCCGGATTCCATTTAAGCTCACGCTGACTGCTTGGGTGACTCCATCCAGCCACCTCATTCTCTGTCGTCCCCTTCTTCTTTTGCCCTCCATCTTTCCCAGCATTAGGCTCTTCTCCAGGGAGTCCTTCCTTCTCACTTTAAGTGATCCCCAAGTCTTTGGAAGGACCAGAAAAGCAGCACCTCTCTCTTATTTTCTGCTTCAAGACTTTAATTGTCCTTATTTTAGCTAGAGATATAGGTACAAAATCATATTCAAACTGATGATTGAAGTGTGGAAGTTTAAAACCATGAAGGCATTAAAATAAAACTCTGACTTTGATGGCACAACTTAATTAATTAATCTCCACAAACCATCTACAGCCACAAGAGTATAGGGCCAGAAAGGTACTTGATTTGACACCACAAAACTCCACCTTTATTCATAAAAACAAAACAGTCCCACATCCTACTGCTAATTTGCCAAAGTGAAAGAGAAAGTTAAAACAGGCACTTTGGAAAGTTTCAAGAGCCACTTAATCCACAGTTGATTGCCACCATCTAGTGGTCAAAATTCTCAGTGTCCTCTAGTCAGAAATAATTGCAGCCATTTATTTACATCTTTGAAATTTTTTTAACTTCTTTAAAAACTCCCTAGGCAAAATTCACAAGACGCCTCTCATGGGGTTCATTTATTTGACAGACTTGAACATTGGGCACTA